ATTTTTCTTCTTTCTTTTTAAATTTTTGATTACCAATTTCTGATTATTATATCAAGTTATAAGACAAGAGGTTCGTTTTCCTGCATTTTTTGTTCTGTTCAAAATTTTTCAGATTGGTCCTGATTAATACGCATATAAAAAAAAAACTCGTACTCGGTGAAAACGATTACTATAGAAATGGTGCTATTTACGACGAACCCGTGATTGCGTACCATCGAAAAATCACAGTTGGTAAACGTATTCGAAGCAGATTAAAATTCTTCTGCTCCCTTGACCATTTCTGTTTTATCTGCACGAATATCAGGGTAATATCCTCATTACATGAATTTTTCAACGAACGTTAACGAATATAATCGCAGTGAACTTTGAAATGATTTTTCGATTACATTCTCCCGCATGATTTAATGTAATGTTGCTTGAGGAAAATTTCCCGCCAAAAGTTACTGATGTTTAACCAACCAAACATTTTATATATAAGCGAAACAGATTCATCTCCGATATTACGAACTTGCATTATGTTTTATTTCCTTTAAGTACTTACTATCATCTACTATTAAACATCTATTATCTAATATATTACAATACTTCATATGACTATCGAAGTATTAATAATGGGCGCGAATTTTTGAAAGCGTTTAATTCTAAGTGAACATAACGGGGGCGCTACAAAACATTTCTTCGGTAATTACAATTTTAGCTTGAGGTACGTTATGTTTGGGCGGTACCTCTGAGATGTTTAAAAAGATATTGACAATATATATACATGTGATTGACAGAAGGTTCCATCACAGTTTTGTAAACTACGTCATAAACTACATATTTCTATAGGGTTTACCATTCGGAGAATGAAGGAATTACAAAAGAACACGCGAATTCTATCAATTACATCCAATTTAATCATTGGATCACAAAAAGGAAAAAATGATAAATTAATGATTCGACAATTAATAGTGATAAGAAAATAAATTACCAGTTTATTATAACTATTTTATTTTCCAAAATGATCAATAGCCTTTAACAATTAAGAAAGCTGCATGTAATGTAAAAAGTTCGCGTATTCTTGAATGTCCTTGTTTTTCCACTTTAATAATATCGTAAACAATTTTTTCTTTCTTTTACTGTTCTTTTGTTTTTGGTGCTCTCTCAATAATACCGTATATGTGGTTCAGTACATAAATACATTTATTTGAACTCTCCATAACAATACCGAATTATTGATTCAGTGCACTTAATCGATTAAGTGAACGTTCATATTCATTTTAAGCGTCCAATTAGGCCATGCTCGAACCCAGACCAGACTTCTATTTTATATTTGTATTTCATAATCAGGATATTAAAATGAGTATCTAATGCGCATTATTATGTACATTTTGTTTAATAGAGATAATATTTCATATTTCTCATAGAATTATTGACTATGACGATACCCTTTGGAAATAAATATTATTCCAGGTGATTTTGAAAAAAATTAATACGTTTTTGTGATTTTTCAATTATTTATAATTATAATTATAGAATGTCATTTTGAATGTCAAATTGTGTTAGAATTATTTAAGATTAATTGTTTTCTTATTTAAAATCGATTTAACAATAATTTTTAGAGGTAAGTTATAATATGTATAATTATTTATATCTACCAAGGTATTAAAAAATGCTTTTCAATTACCTTTTTCTTTTACTTCTAATTCATAGTTTTTTTTTATTATTCTTAATGACATTTTTATTATTAAGCGATTTATACGTATATATATTACATATATACACATATATAATATATATACTATATGCGTGTATGTGTGCGTGTTATCCGCATATTAATATATCATTGCACAATCTTGTTTCACTGCATTTCTATCAACCAATTTGTTAATATATAACACAGATTCCGTTGTTGTAGTTAATACAATTTATAAATAAATTTTATTAATATGATTATTATGTTTGTGAGTAATGCATACTTTTTACTGTTATATAATTATCAAAAGTAAATACATTATGAGGCACAAAATGATCAAGTCTTGATAAAAGCAGTGAACGAATTTATTCATTGTGCTCATTTTAAATATTCATGCACAGCTTGATTTAGTTCTCACCTTTTCTTCTGTATATAAAATCTGCTAACATGTTTTTCTTATTTACTTTTTTAAGTGTACAATATTTTCTAAAAAAATAAAAGCGTATATATACATATATACTAAACTATAAATTTCTGAAGAAAATCTATGTACATATAATTATGAAAATAAGTAAGTATTTTGTTACAATAGATTTGATCAGCACTTTGAATATAAGTTGTCCATTTTACAAAATTATGTAATGCGAAACAAATATGCACAAGGACTTTAAGATACCTAAATTTCTTAGATTATCTTAAAATTGCATCATTTTTTCTTTTTTTTTCATAAAAAAAGTAACAATGTAGATTAATACATAATCTAACATATACGCCTCTGTTTCTTTATCATGTATCATGAATTTATAATTGTTTTAAGCGATAGAAATAACACTTTTGTACATCTTATAAATCAATTATCTGAGTGAACGGATTCAATAATAAGTGCTACAATAAAGTATTCACATCTTCAACTAGATTGGTAAAGCAATCATAATTAACTATGCTTACAAAACCAATTCTGTTTTTACATCTTTTATACATTTTTCGCTTATATAATTTTATGTTTTTATTCACGCCGTAAATTCTCAAGCCTAGCTTGCAGGTCTGCGTCCGCGTCTGCCAAATTTCCACCTTCGTCATTCCCTGTTGCAGTCGCGACTGGCTGCTTGGAACTTGCTACATTTAATGAACCAGATGCTTGTGGTAAACCTGATAACTGATCTGTCAATTGGAGACCTAGTTCATCCAAAACTTGTGACACAATAGCATCACTGTAATAGAATAAGTATATTTGAAGTATTCAATAAACAAGTTACACTTTTTTCGAGAAAAATATAAATATTTTTATTATATACCTTTCTTCTTCATCAGCCTCATCTTCCATTGCATCATCAATGGCATCGTTCATAATTTCTTCTTTCATATCCATTATTTCTGATTGTTTTTCAAACTCTTGCAATATCTTCTGTATTTGAGGAAGATTTAATTGTCTGTGAAATTATATAATTTTTATAAATAGTAAGTAATAAAAATCTTTCAATTCTAATTTTAAATAAGCAAAACAAGTTCTCACTTGTTCATGTTTTGCATTGCTCTTGTGACTCCCTTCATTGCTTGTGCCATGGTATTTTGCGAACGCAATGTTTGAATCTTTAAAGAAACTGCTTGTATATTTGCTTTCATCAACATGAACTTTTTCACATAGCGTCTAGTTCTCACAAGATCTTTAGCCATAATTTTCACTGCATCCTAGCAAATGATAAATGAAAATTCCTAAATGATATAAAAGATAAACATTACAGAACTAAATCAGATTACCATTTGTCCATCTTTAGCAAGTTTCTTTATATCTGCAATAATCTTTTTCTCTTGTTGTTCCATCCTCATTCTTTCTCTGTCAAGATCTCGCATAGCTTTGTTTAAGGCTCTTTGGTTTTTTCTGAGCATCTCCTCAGGAGTAATACGTTTTCCAAATAACCACTCCATGATTGAAACACTATTTTACCTTTACCTGTGAAAATTGATATCAACACGAACCATTATAAAAGTTCAAAAGAGGATTGATATGATTGCCATTGTGCGAAATTAAAAATAATTATTTAGAACGTTTAATTATAAAAATTAGAACTTAACCAGAAGTTAGAACGTTTAATTATAAAAATAATTAATAAAAGATGATCGATT